CAACCTGTGGTTGGCCAGTAGTTATTGATGTTTGAGCAGTAGTTACAACTGATGGTTGACCTGTCATTATGCCTGTTGGTTGAGCAGTAGTAACTATAGATGGTTGACCTGTTGTTACAACTGATGGTTGGCCAGTAGTTATAGGTGGTTGAGCTGTAGTAACAACTGATGGTTGGCCTGTTGTTGCAACTGATGGTTGACCTGTTGTTATACCTGTTGGTTCAGCTGTTGTGACTAAAGACGGCTGGCCTGTTGTTGCAACTGGTGGTTGGCCAGTAGTTATTGGTGGTTGAGCAGTAGTAACAACTGATGGCTGTCCTGTTGTAACTGTAGGTTGAGGTGTAGTAACTACTGATGGTTTGCCTGTTGTTACAACCTGTGGTTGGCCAGTAGTTATTGATGTTTGAGCAGTAGTTACAACTGATGGTTGACCTGTCGTTATGCCTGTTGGTTGAGCAGTAGTAACTATAGATGGTTGACCTGTTGTTACAACTGATGGTTGGCCAGTCGTTATTGGTGGTTGAGCAGTAGTTGCCACAGATGTTTGGCCTGTTGTTGTTATACCTGTTGGTTCAGCTGTAGTAAAAACTGATGGTTGACCTGTGGTTACAACTGATGGTTGACCTGTTGTAACTGTAGGTTGAGCTGTAGTAACAACTGATGGTGAGCCTGTTGTTATAACTGATGGCTGGCCAGTAGTTATTGGTGGTTGAACAGTAGTTACAACTGATGGTTGACCTGTCGTTATGCCTTTTGGTTGAACTGTAGTAACTACAGATGGTTGGCCTGTTGTCACAACTGCTGGCTGGCCAGTAGTTATTGGTGATTGAGCTGTTGTAACAACTGATGGTTGACCTGTTGTAATTACACCAGATGGCTGGCCTGTTGTTACAACTGATGGATGGCTGGTAGCTATTGGTGGTTGAGAAGTAGTTACAACTGATGCTTGGCCTGTTGTTGTTATACCTGTTGGATGAACTGTAGTAATTACAGATGGTGGACCTGTTGTTACAACTGATGGCTGGCCAGTAGTTATTGGTGGTTGAGCTGTAGTAACAACTGATGGTTGACCTGTTGTAACTGTTGGTTGACCTGTTGTAACTGTAGGTTGACCAGTAGTTACACCAGATGGTTGGCCTGTTGTTACAACTGATGGTTGGCCTGTTGTTATACCTGTAGTAACTACAGATGGTTTGCCTGTTGTCACAACTGATGGTTGGCCAGTAGTTATAGGTGGTTGAGCTGTAGTAACAACTGATGGTTGGCCTGTTGTTGCAACTGATGGTTGACCTGTTGGTTCAGCTGTCGTGACTAAAGACGGTTGGCCTGTTGTTACAACTGGTGGTTGGCCAGTAGTTATTAGTGGTCGAGCAGTGGTAACAACTGATGGTTGTCCTGTTGTAACTGTAGGTTGAGGTGTAGTAACTACTGATGGTTTGCC